TCCTGACTCGTAGCTTTAACTCGTTCAACAGCCACAATTTCAAGATAACCTTCACGACCTTCGCCCTCGAGGCTTTTGCCCCTTTTAGAAAACGCAGCAGTAATAGCTGGCGCTCCTACAAGATAAATCGTCACTATCGAACACGTTTTTCAAAAAACACGATGACATTCAGTAGCCATTTTTCCTTTGTGCCGCAAATGCACGTGCAGGCACCTTTCGATTAAACACCATCATTGGAACACAATCATTTGCCGAAACCCAATATATCGCACTGTGCGCCAGAAGTCGCCGTGTTGGTTGGGATCTTATTCAATATGAGAAGTTATATCCTAGCCTAGAAACAACAACACAAATATGGGCGGCATTTAAATCGGACAACCTATCACAACATGCGGTAGCGGTCAAAAGTGTTCGCGGAAACGGTTTCTAGGTGCTTCCCTTTTTTGGCATTTGTTCTATTGAATGTCCTGATTCTTTGAGACTTGAGGACATAAAAACCCTAAAAACATAGTATATCAATCTTTGGAAGACGTTGCTCAAGCGAGAAAAAATAATGCACCGAAAAAAGTTTCGGCGAACACTTTTGACCACTACTGTAGCTGAGGCATCACCATTGCCCTCTGATTGGGTCACTAGTTTGAAGAGGCTACTATCCTGGTTGTTTAGCCTGTTCTCGTCAGAATTTTTGCTCTCCAGTGACAATGCAAAAAAGCTGAACCTTTTACAGCTGGGTCTGCTTGTAAGCCCTCCTAAGACGACATCTGATACCTCGCTCAAGCAGCAAAATAGCGGAACAGCGCAACTGAGCGAGAAGCAGGACGAAGAGCAAACAAAAAGCATCACTCCGAAGAGCACTGAGGTGAAATACTAAATTGTATTCGTCTGGTGCTAAGTTAGAAACCAGTCACTTACAGCAGCCTCTCATCTACCTTCGAACATTGCTGGAATTTCTGCTGCAGTACTACGAAGACTGCATCACGTGCCTTACACCAGGCATAGTATCTCTATTTCCGATGATCATCGAGTACGCTAATGAAGACGAAACGGAGTAAGCGACCTACCTCCTTATTACCAAGCCCAATAAGTGATAGTAAAAATTCAGGGTTCGAGAGTGGTGAAAAAAATTCATCCAGTTTCCCATATCTTCTGAGCGCCTTCACTAGCGTTGAGAAATAGGTCGGAGGGGGGGGTGGGGGAGGGTGGAGGAGGAGTAAGGGTACACTCCTTTCTGTTCTCCAATAAAACATAAGAAAGAAGCGCTCATTACATGCAATCGACTCATTTGAAATACCCTTCTGCTGAGTCCCGGTGCGGCCGGTAATCCAAAAATGGTTCTGCCAGGAAAATCTTAGCCTAGGTCCAAGGGTAGAGGAGCTTTAAACTCCATCTTCACAGCAACTTAGTACAGAGTATTGCCAGGCGCTATATTGATGACGTTACTGTGAGCCACTGGAGCCATAGGGGTTTTGGAATAAGCTATAATTGGGACATTTTCATGGGTAGTAGTGCCCTGGGGAACAAAACAAAGAGGTAGGCTGCTTGTATTGAGATGGGTTTGGTTATGTGGTCGGACTTTTGAGAGGAATCATCAAGTTAATTTGAGATCCAACCACAACAGGTCAACTCTGCTGTCTGGGGTTGCAGAAACTTCAAAAAGCATGCAAAATAAAAGGCTGTTGGGGCTACTCTGAAGGTTCGATATAGTTTTGTAAGATCGAGTCCACACATAATTTTGGAATTTGGATTAAAGATTTGAGACTGGCGATTTAGAGATCGGCCGACTCGCATAAAACGCGTATTGAACTTCTCATTTATTGTTCCAGCGCATGCTAATCCGCAGTTCGAATTCACGTTGCGCCCGCCAATTCAATTGTGGCCAAAATGGCTAGCCACTCACGCATTGTGCATGAGTACGTTTAGGAATGTTCATGCTGCGAATACTTCTTGAAACAAGTGCAAGCGTAGTGCATTTGCCAACACGATTACATTTTGCGTGTCAGTTTAATCTGTGGATGGGCGCGATGTTGCTCGCTGTCCGCACACAACCAGGCATACACTTATTGCCATGAATCCGTCTGTTCTCCATTTTATCCGAGTGACAGTTTCGATTTTAGAATGAAGATGGAAAGGCGCATAGAATAGAACCATTTAAATTAATTTCGAAAAATCTCTCTTCCTAACGTATGACATGAAATTTTGATGGATTTTATATGGATAGGTTGATAACGCCAGGGGTCACGATTATTCCTGTGGAGACGATAAGGAAGATTACGTATTGGATTGGGTAGGGTCCTGCCAATGAGGCAAAGGTAGCGCTTCAGTTGCAGTGTCGTCTTATCAACGGCGTGATAAGGCGCCGAAACTCTCCTGGGTCAGATACACTTCCGTATTATCTAGCCCAGTCATAGGTTAATAACGCGAGGTAGCAGATTCACGTGCAAGCCAGCGTGATCGCTTCCTTCAAAGCAGTTATTGACCTCGTAAGCAGCAGTATTGAATAAGGATTTTCAGCGATTGTTTGTTAAAATATTAGCAAACGTTGCTATAATTGGTTTCTTGTGTTAACATTTCTGGTGGGAGCTGGGCCTCAATTATTCTGACACCATGCTTATCCATTACCCTTTATATCGATCAAACCGCTTCTAATATCGTGTACGCCAAAAGAATGTCCTGAAGAGCTGTTCTCACATTTACTTGACTTCATAGAATGACGAACAACTTTCAGACAAAACGAGTCGTTCAAGGATATTGACATCAAGAACAATGCCAGTGTATTGGTGCATGAGTACATGTCAAGTCTATTGGTCACTGAGAAGTTTGCTGAACCATTCCTGGATGTTGTCATTAAGGTGAGCAGTGAAAAACCGCCAGAGACCTGGAGCTCATTCGGGCTGAAACACCCAAATTGAGAATTGTTGAATCCTAGAATACGACTAACAATAAGCATGGCTCAGTATGTACAATGTGTAGCAGTTGGTAAGCTTGGGTTTCAGCAGTCGCTTGAGAACCCGATGAAAGCATTGATATATTGTACCCTGGGTTCCATTTTATTCCTTTTTACGCTGCGGCGAAAGTATTGTGATGGCAGTTCGCACTGCCTACCAACGACCTGTCCAAGGGAAGAAGGGTAGATTGGGGAATGGGGATTAAGCCGTATATTTGGAAAACGTATAAGGAGAACTGGTTTTCAAAGGATTATCGAATTTCAGCAGTTTCAAGAAACATCATCGTTACCGGAGTTAGATGGTGGGGGAAAGGGGAGAGCCGAAATAGCCGAAATCGGTTAGCGTCTCGGTCAATCCATGTTGTAGTTGCCCATATAGGTGAATGTAAATTTACGGACTTCTTGCCACAAGAGCTGAACTTCTTCTGCTTTGACAGCTGATTGCGAATTGCTACAGTCAGCTCTTTTCCTACCGTCACCCTTCGCCAACTTTCCAATGTCCATTTTCTCAAATGGGTTCAAAAAGACCAGCCAGTGCCTCTCTGGTTAGGAAGAAGAGGTGGGGAGGGGGGACTCCAGACCACTTTTCTGCGCCTTCTCACTGATGTGGTGCAAAGCAGACACACCCCTCAACTTCGACTCGCTCTGCCCTCCTCTCGGGTTGGCTACATATCCTTTCCTTACAAATTTAATTTCCCATCACATGAGAGCGCTGTCTTTGTGAGAGGACAAAGGCAAGCATACCGCCGGCTTCCCCGCTGGGCCGGGCGCAACAAAGCCCCGCGAAGTGATGGTCTCCAAAGCGCTGCATCTCTATAATCATCCCCTTTCTGATCCCGCCCCGATTGCTCATCGCATGCTCCGCAGAGACGCAGAGTTTTGGGTCTCGGGTTTGTCTCCACCCGGCTCCTGATTACGGTAATACCGGCCACTCATCCCCGCTCTCCACATGATGCTTGAGTGCCAGGCCAGCACCATTACTAGGAATCCACAAGTTCAGCAACATTATTCAGACTTTCCATCGTTCAAGTCTGTGGCGTGTACGGGTCTCGGTGTTGAAGTTCCTGCAAGTGATAGTGTTCTCCAATATCTATGTGTTAGAAATGAAACAACGAACGAAGAAAGTGGTAGAAATTCTTTTTGAAGCTTTGGTCGATAGCCAGGTACGCAGCTTATAGTGAGTATGAGGGGGAAGAGCTGAAGATACAATATTTATAATAATGAGAATCTCTTAAGATGGAGGTACGGCTCGAGGCTTCTCGATGTATGATGACACTAATTCATTGCGACTACATCAAAGTTGACAAATTTCTTGTGGTCAGTAGCAATTTGCCTATTCGCTCATTGAAATCTCCCACTGACAGTCCTAACTAACTATTATATTGTGTATACCTTCAGGATAGAATTCGCGTGTGTTCGGAAAGCAAGCAGCACTCTTCCCTACATGGAGCTGTTCTTGGAATGGGTGCAGTAGTGATGGCACATCCCTACTCAACGCCACCATTCGTCGTTCCCCTACTGCAGTCGCTTTGCACCTTCACTAGTAAAAGTGCGGAACTGCAGGCAAGTGGAGCGATTTGAATGACAACGAATTCATTATTCGAGGGAGGATTCCAATCGGACGTTGAAAATGGGGATATAGGTACCAGAAAGGCATTGCCCCCCCTAAGGGTGCAGGACGATGCGCGTTTCGCATCCAAGACTATGTCCAAACAGCTTAGTAGGGTCGCAGCAACTCCGCTAGCGCCTTTGCGCGACCGCCGATTTAGCCCCTCGCCGTCTGACTCTAGACGTTCAGTAGAGAGTGTCAGTGTCGAAGATAGCAGCACCTACGAGAGTTACATCAATGCGGAAACATAGGGCAACGGGCCCTATTTCTCGGGTTCTGAGCCATTTTTCAAGGTTTTTCTTCATCCGTGCACCAATGACCACCTCCACATTGATTTCTGATAGGATTCCTTTTTGCCTTGAACTTTGCCTTCGATCGAATGGCCTTCTTAATGGTTTCTGCTAAGAAGTAAGGTCCCGAAGAACCCTTGCATTTTCTCAGTACGCATCCAACGCAACACGATTCTTTACAAGAGTCGAATATATGGCGCACTCCTAATGAGTTGACAATAGCTAATTCTTTCTTTCCGTAAGAACTACTTCGACGAAGCACACATTGGATAACGTTGACATGATATCACTGCTTTCCCGTTCAGTCATTATGGACTCGTTCTTTGCAGAGAGCGGCTACAATGGCCCTTAGAGAATTCCGACGCAGTCATCGTGAAGAGTGGGAGAAGACAACAAAAATAATCGGATCAGACCTCGTGTACAAAATTGAGAACGCTATCGCACCAATTTATTATGCTTAATTCATAGTGTTTAATAATTGTACTTCAACAATCGCTATCCGTGATTAAATAAGTTTTTTGTCATCCTGGTCGTCTTGC